TTCCTCCGGCAGGGCGGTCGGTGGGTGCTTCTCGGTTTCAAAGGGGCTCTTGTGGTTCAGGGCTTTTCAGGATGCTGTACCGAGGGGTTGTCCGGTTAGGAAAAGGTTAACGTCGTGTTCTTTTTTCAGAGGTTTTTCTTAAACTCAAATGGGTGATGAAAAGGATTCTTGGAAGGTGAAAACTTTAGATGAAATTCTTCAGGAGAAAAAACGAAGGAAGGAGCAAGAAGAGAAAGCAGAGATAAAACGCATGAAAAATGTAAGTGGTCCATTGGTGTACGTGTGTTTCGAGTGAAACCCGAGGAGCTTCGGAGCCTGTGTCCTCGTTTTCTGAGGAGAAAAAGGCTTCTTGCCCTCTCGGTGGGCATGTTTCACGTGTGATCCCAAGTTCCGAAGTTTGGTGCTTCGCTAGGCTCTCATTTGCCTTGCGCTGTGCCCTGTGCTTTGTTTCGCAGTGGTTGTTAGGTGAGTTAAAGAAATCGATGTGAGTAACTGGAAGTTGCAGTCTGAGTAACAAGCTTTCTGAGATTTTATAGAAGCATGGGTTTAAATAACCGTTCTTGAATAACTTTCACGTTACTACTTGTTTGTGTATTACTACGTGCAAAATAACCTTCTTCTGGAAAAAAAAACAGCACCATGGTTAACACAATCCTCCGTTATTGTTTATTTTTATCAAATTGCATTGGATTTACAGAAGATCAGCTGTCGTTGCAATCAGACTGTGTTTAGCTGCTAACAGCTATGAAATCTCTACTTCCTAAGTTGCTGTACTGTACTGGTGTGACCAGCTGAGGGTGGCTTTTGAGCCAGGAATGGAAGAGTACTATTTAATCTTTTTTTATTTTGCGACGTAACAAAAAATTGCATTTTGGTTTTGCCCTTTCTTGTGTCTCCATCACAGTCAGATGATAGGGATTCAAAGCGGGATTCTCTTGAAGAGGGGGAGTTGAGAGATCATCGCATGGAAATAACAATCAGAAATTCACCTTACAGGAGGGAAGACTCTATGGAGGACAGGTAGGAATAAGAAAATAACCTTGTTACCTTAGGAAGAGTTACTGAAATTAACCTTTAGAAGTACTGCGAGGAGGGTTGGGATGCAGATGTGCCATCTCCTGTTCACAGAACATACCAGAGTATCTTTTTTAAATACTGATTAAGGCTTAATAGTGTCATATGTTCCAGTTTTGGCCACTACCTAGTAATGAAACAGTTGGCTCAAGACGTGGTTAAAGGCCTGCCAGGTTCTTTTTGGTGCTTAATTCATCCTCAGTTTGCTTTTGTATTAAAAGTGCATATGTAATAGCTTAACTCCTCATCTGTAGGTCTGATTTCTGTAACACATGGCTAGTGCCTTGATTGAGGGATACTATGGAAATTAATATAAATTAATAGAATAGGAAAAAACGCATTCTTTTCACAATGGAGAAAAGAGGAAACGGCACATGGTCTGTTTGACGGCACATGTAACCCTCCTGGGTTTATTTTGTCTTGCGTTTTAGAGGAGAAGAAGATGATTCCTTGGCTATAAAACCACCACAGCAAATGTCACGGAAGGAAAAAGCCCATCATAGAAAAGATGAGAAGAGGAAAGAGAAGCGCAGACATCGTAGCCATTCAGCAGAAGGTTGTAATTACTACGCTTAGATAACATCTCTGGTGCCTTCCCAAGGTGACGCCGAAAAGGCATTGTGTAGAGGGTAATTAGCAGTAACTGTAAACTGCAAGCAGCAGGACAAGCGGATGAGAGGAAGGAATTTTAACTGGTATTACTGCTTTGATTATGTTTAATGCCTTTATGGGAATGGCAGGGGTCTGTGCGTGTTTGAGAGGACAGCAGTCACTTGGGACAGAGAGTCTACTTTTGCTCTTTGAAGTCTTTTCAAATTTCCATTAAGAAAATAACAGAGAACATGAAAATAGGTCACCATAAGTTTCGTCCTTTCTAGTTTTGCTTTTTAAAAACAGAAGCGCTAAATATTTTGAGTAGTAACACTCCAAAATTCACTTTTGTTTGTTTAGGGAAGCATGCCAGAGTGAAAGAGAAAGAACGGGAACATGAGCGTAGGAAGAGACATAGAGAAGAGCAGGATAAAGCCCGTCGCGAATGGGAAAGACAGAAACGGAGAGAAATGGCAAGGGAGCATTCCAGGAGGGAGAGGTACATTGCGTCCATCCGCAGAATCACAGAATGCTAGGGGTTGGAAGGGACCTCGAAAGATCATCTAGTCCAACCAGCTTCCTCCTCTAAATCGATCTCTAACCATTCATTGCTCTGAAATCACAAATTCAGAGCAACAACTTGTCTGATGCCAGTGCCATGTTCCTGTGAATGTGTTGTCTAATGAAAATGCATTCTTGGCTTCAGTTACTTCTGTAATGGCTTCGGTACTGCAGATATTTCTAGGTGAATTCATTGCCGGTGTTTTACTGTAATGAAAAAAAGAAAAAAGCAGGAACCATGTTTGCACAGTGTCAAGGGATTCATTAACTGAACTTGCTCAATTTCTGTTTAAATGCTAATGAGAGTGCAGAAGCTCGTGTATTTTAGAGCTCGTGTTCGTTGTCTTTGGAACGCTGTTTTTAAAGGATCACACAAAAAGCTGCCTCAGTTTTTGACCACTGATACGCAGTCAGTGGTGTTGGTGCTAGTGGAATTGAATGGCGCCGGAGTTTGTAACAGCAAAACAGTTTTCCTTTAGTTTGTAAGCTGTGAGCGGCAACGTAACAAAAAAATAATTCTTTTCTAGAGATCGCCTGGAGCAACTTGAGCGAGAACGAGAGAGGAAAATCAGAGAGCAGCAAAAGGAACAAAGGGAGCAAAAAGAGCGAGAAAGGCGAGCTGAAGAAAGACGTAAGGAACGGGAAGCCAGAAGAGAAGGTAACTGTCTCTGTGTAAACGTTACTAGAGCTTACTATCTGCTGACGCGCACAATGGAGGTATAGAAAGATTTTTTTACTTAAATCAGTGCTAGAATTTAAAAAAAAATTAAAGAGCAGAAGCCTTCTATGTGGGAGGGGGCAAAAAAAATCTTTTAAGTTCTACATGGGGAAATAAACCAGTGCCACATGCCTTCAGTGTCATGGCATATCAATTAGCCACTAAGTCTTTCTTAGCCTCTCTTCGTTAATCTGGTTTTCTGTAGAAACGATTTATGTACTTGGCATTGTCTCTGTGCATGCATGTGTGTGTATCTGTCATGATCCCAGTCGCTTCTGAACTCTTTGGCTGAGTCTAACCCGATGGGATAGAGATTGAAGTCTCAAAATTGAGTGGTTTAAGGGCTTGGGGAAATAAATTGCAAAGGTAGGGCTCCAGCTGTGAAAATGGCTGTAGTGGGAGTCGTGGGGAAGTTCTGATAACCGAGCACTTTAAATTAAGTTCTACACATGAACCCTCTCTTTGCGTAGCACATCAGGTCCTTGCAGTCTAAGTTCAGATGGGTTTTGGTTAAAGCAGCTCTGTTTGTCCCAGGTTTCAGTGGTAAAAACCAGAGCTCATTTCCTGTGGTCGAGTGAAAAAGATTGTTCAGGAGCAGCAGCGGTTGTGTTTATTGCTGCTCTTCCTAGTTGGGCTCATTCGTACCAGTCAGCCCCTTTCTGTGCTTGGTGTTGATGCTGATACGGCTCCATCTATCTTGCCTTTCGTTTTAGTTATTTTTATTGCTCTAAATGTTCTGTCAGCTCCTTCTAAACCTTAGCGGGTTTTACTCTTTTTTACTCTTCCTGATCTGTCCACTTCTCTCTCTGGCAGTAACACCCCAGTTTCAGGGTGTCTGCTCTGTCATATTTAGGGCATCTTGCTTCTGTTCCCCAAGCATGGCAGCACCTTTCTCTGAGTAACACAAACCCGTATTTTATTGTGCGTGAGGTAAATCGTAGTCCTTTACTCTCCTAGACACAGTCAGGTTCCGCTTCCACTCCTCCCCGCTCCCCTTTTTAGCGTGTGAGGAAGAACGAAAAGTACGTGAAGCAGGTGATTTTGGCAGACAGAAGTGTTCTAATTAGGGCAGGGAGATGTAACGATTTCTTCCGGTTTTGTTTTCACTAGTTTCTGCACACCATAGAACAGTGAGGGAAGAATATGGAGACAAAGTAAAAATGAGACCCTGGAGTCGCAGCCCATTACGACAGCAAAGAGACAAGCTTGAGCAAGGAGATAGCAGGAAACCAGGTAGCCATTGCCACTTTATCATGTCTTTGCCTGCGGGCTAAGAGGAGCTCTTTGGGGTTAGTGTTTCATTTTTAGTAGCAAACTATATCCCTGGTACTCTGCTGAAAGTATTAGCCACTTCAGCCACGGTGGCGTAACTCTGGAATATTCATGAATACATAGAGATGTACGGTTTTCCAAAGCAATGCTGCCTTTGCAGGTAATTGTGCAAGTGACAAATGGAACGAATCTCCTTTTTGGCAGTAGGGGTAGTCATTTAAAAAGTTTCCAAGAGAGTTACTTCATTCAGTGATGAAAGAAGCAGCTGACTGAATTTTAAATTTAATTCCCTCAAAGATTTAAAACAGATTTTACACTAGCTCCAGCTGGATTCACTGTTAGGAACTAAGCTACCTTACAAAGTTACCTTACAGGGGCCGATATAGTGTAAGCATCACTGATGTTGCCATCTCGTAGAAGAAAACAAATGCCTCAGGCAGTGTTGGTTAGATGGTGTGTTTTGTTTTCTGAGCCAGAAAATGGTCCTTCCCAGGCCTAGAAGTCCTGACTGTGAGTAGAGAACTTGCACAACTGACGTCATAGTGTCCTTGGTTAAAGAAAAGCTCTGTGTCTGCTTGTTAATGTGTGTAGCTGTAAAAATAAGTGTAACTGTTCCAAGTTAGCCGATTGCAGATGTAATCGGCTGGAATTCCAGGTGCAGGCAGGCAGCAAGTCCTTTCAAGCTACTGTCTCATCCATCCCCAGCTATTGGCACGTGGTATTTCATGGGGGTCCAGAGGGACTGCATTAGAATAGTAAGTGCTCTGTGTACACACATCAGTGAGACTGTGTTGTGGTGATGCTTGTTACCATGTTACTTTAAAAAAAACACATTAAAAAAGCAATTAATCTTAGAGGGGTTTAGGTATGTGTCACGTTTAAAAACGCAAAAGGTCGATACTCTGCATTTAGTCTGTTGATCCTGCACCACTGCAATTCAGAAGAGCTGCTTATATTTGAGCAGAGCGCGAAACTGTGTTCGTGCTCTGTATTTCCAATAAGGAACGTTCAGCACTGATTTAATGGCCAGAGAAAGCAAAGCAGTTACCTGGGTATCCAGTCCGAGGAGTGGTACTCAGTCAGCACCCTGTTTGTAATTTTTATCATCTCAGCAGTAAAAGAAGAGAAACCAGAAGAGAGAGATCCTCTTTCAGACTTGCAAGACATCAGTGACAGTGAGAGAAAGACCAGCTCGGCAGAGTCTTCATCAGGTGATTAGATGCAATTGAGGAGATGTCACTAATTGTGCAGCTGTCTGCTGAGGGAACCCTGTGTTAGAGCGTGTGCCCACTTAGGTATGTGTTCGATTGTTCCGCAACAGAGTCTGGATCAGGCTCGGAAGAAGAGGAGGAGGAGTCCAGCAGTGAAGGTTCTGAGGAAGAGGGCGAGGAAGAGGAGGAGGAGGAGGAGACGGGAAGCAATTCTGAGGAAGTCTCTGAGCAGTCAGCTGGTGAGTAACATAAAGCAGGTCCTGGACTGGTGTGTTATGATTTGCTTTGTTTCTCACCTTACGGTTTTATTTGAACATTTTCCTTTTCTCTTAGTCTAGGATAGGCTGAGACCTCACAGGTCAAGATAACTAAAAAGAAAAAAAAAACAAGTACAAGTCATATTCTATCCTTTTATATAGAGGTAATACCAATTATTCATCTAAGAAGCCAGGTTAGAAAACTGAAAGCCATTTTTTTCTTCCTAAATGGTGTGAGGCTAACCCTTGAAGTAATTTTGTAACGTAACATTCTGTAGAGAACAAATCTGCGCTTACTTGGGGGGTGGTGAAATACAATTGTGTCTTTTTAAATTATTTTCAGTTGCAAATTTTAGTAGTTTTTTTTCATGCCAGTACAAGTAAATTAACATAATAAAAATGGTTTAGTAAAAAATCCTTACAACTGTTTTTGTAATTAATTAGTAAAGAAAAGGCACAAGTGTGCCTTTTAAAATCTATCACAGCTAATAAATATTCATGAGCTTCCTGAATTAATTTATTCACGTAACCCCATCCTGGAGTTCCCAGATAATTGGCAAGAGTGGTGTTCTCTATGGGAAGCTGGAAAGTGCAGTTTTGTGGAGTTAGGGAAGGCATTTGCTTTCCAAGTGGAAAATAATTACGAGGTCACTAACAAGATAAAGAAGGTGAAGGCAGCTGGCAAGTTAGAAAAGTGTTTCAGTGGCGATCTGCCTTACGTGGAACCACACGAGTGCTGAGGTTATTCAATCGAACTTGATTCTGTTTTGCAGAAGAGGTGAGCGAAGAAGAAATGAGTGAAGAGGAGGAACGGGAGAATGGAAACCACATCCCAGTTGGTACAATGCAAATACTGAATATTTAAAGCTGATGTTTTTGCATTTCTCCAAATACTTATAAAAAATATTTTAAATATATTTCTTGTTGCGCTTTTGCCATCGTTCTAAAGCGTTGTATATTTGGCATTTTGAGGTCATTCTCATGTCAAAATCAGAAATTCCTTGAAATCTGTTCCAAGGTCTGTGTTTAGAGGAAATCAGATACTAGTCTAATGAGCTCATCTTTTTCATTTTGGGACTTCTGTCCTGTCCTTTCATCAAAAAAAACTTTGCAGTCAGAATGAGACATACTGGGGCGGTTTTCTTTTCCATTTTGTTAGTGTAAAGATTTCTGACGTGCTGTATTTATCGTGATTGTATGTACGTGACTCTAAATGAGTTCTCGGAAACATCATCTTTGCAAAGAGGAGAAATTAGGCTTCTCAATCGTCTTTTCTGTTGCAGTAACTTAAGGTGCATGAGTTGCACAAGCTCAGCATGTCATTACCCTTAACTGTCTGGAGCTGAACTTAACCCTTCCAAAGGGCTCCCTCTTTCCACGACTGATTCTGACTTTTAAAGTTACAGAGTCGAGGTTTGACCGAGATTCGGCAGGAAGCGAAGTAGAAGAGGAGGAGGTAGGGGAGGGCACCCCTCATTCCAATGCCATGACCGAAGGAGACTACGTTCCTGACTCGCCGGCGTCCTCCCCCATCGAACTGAAGCAAGAGCTTCCCAAGTATCTTCCTGCACTTCAGGTAGAGCAGCTCTTAACGGGTGCTTCAGGATCTCTTGGGAGAGAAGAGTTCTGTTAACGTGAACAGAACCTGACGGGTGGTTATTCTTTTCGTAGCCAATACCAAAGGGTAGACGTACAAAGGGAAAGCATGTTTTTAATTACTATGGGAAAGGTATCTATCAGTCTCAGGTGCCGAGGTGCTGCCTTTGCTGTTATGGCAGAAATTTCAGTTTATTCCGTGCAAAAGTGAATGAGTGAAGAGTTAATGAAATAATTTACTAAAACACAGATGCTGACCAGGATTCCTCTGGGGGTCCCAGTGAAATAAACCCCAAAGATATCTTTCTCACATGGCGTAGCCATGTTGTTGGGTTTTTTTGGTAAATTTTAACTATTCCTGTGAAGTTGATGAAGTTTACCATATGTCTTCTTAAAACAAAAAAAGCGAAAGCCTCCCCCAGATGCCGGAGGAGTAAATGTTATCCATCTGTCTGTTTTCTTCAGGGATGTCGTAGCGTGGAGGAATTTCAGTGTTTGAACAGGATTGAAGAAGGAACATACGGCGTCGTGTACAGAGCAAAAGACAAGAAGACGGGTTAGTATCACTCGTCTCTAGTTGGTATCTTTGGTATTTAGCGGTGCAGTTGTAGGTGCCTTGGTTCCTCTGTTTATTTTAGAATAATACGACCACTTGGTCTCCTTCTTAACCTGTATTTTGTTAGCCGTGTGATGGGAAATCCACAGTCACTAATTCTGTTTTCTTTGCAGATGAAATTGTGGCTCTGAAGCGACTGAAGATGGAAAAGGAAAAAGAAGGCTTTCCCATTACTTCTCTGAGAGAAATAAATACTATTCTGAAAGCACAACATTTAAATATTGTCACTGTCAGAGTAAGGACACAACCTTCTCTTTCAGAAGTATTTCTGCTTTTGAAATATTGCCTCTTGGCTTTTAAAATGCCTTATAAAAAATGTTAGCGTTCATAGCAGCGCTCATTTCTGTGACCAGTTGTATACTGCCTGTGAGCTATGGAGACATGACTTGTCTCTACATCAGCTAATGTTTTGCAAAAATTAGCTTTTGGGTTTCTCATAGAGAAATTAATTTTCTGTGGATTTTACTGACGGCAAGCTCCACTTATCATCTTGCCAGGCAGTTTGTAAAATTCACTCTTGCGTGCTCTTTAACTGCTGTGTGCTTGTCTGATCGTTTGTGTTTTAGGAAATCGTTGTAGGCAGTAATATGGATAAAATCTACATTGTAATGAACTACGTCGAACACGATCTCAAGAGTCTGATGGAAACGATGAAGCAACCATTTCTACCAGGTACTCTTTGCCGTAGTCTCCGGTAATTCTCAAAACTGGAAAACTGGCCAACGCAAACCTCCGTGTCTTTGGGCCATACTGGCATCAAACTAACTCAAAAAAAAAAAAATTAAAGATGGATGGGATTTATTCTCTTAAGTTCCTTTGGCTTCTTTTTATCATTTCAGGTGAAGTGAAAACCTTGATGATTCAATTACTTCGAGGAGTCAAGCATCTTCACGACAACTGGATACTTCACCGAGACTTGAAAACTTCCAACCTGTTGCTCAGCCACTCCGGCATTTTAAAAGTAAGAATATACTGCCCTTAGGCAAACCCTCGTTTCGCAGTGGGGTCAGAGCCACATAAATGTTTTGTGTTAACCTCGAAGAGGTACGAGCTGTGGCTGTAAATACAGTTGGGAGAGAGTGAACTTTACTGTCACAGTGAAGAGACAGGCGTGCCCCAGCTGTAAGATTGATGCTGGGATGTGACAAACAAGCATGGGCTGGTGGCTCCTGAATTCTTTCTGGCATGGTTAGAAGTCTGAGCAGCACTCTCTTGCTTAGTGCAAAAACCAAGGAAGGCCCGTGAGGAACAGCATCCCCTGCGGGGCTGGTGTTGCTGGCCGGAAGCCGTGCGGTAGCCAGCGTGGCCAGCACACCTGTGTGCTGACAGTAATGTCAGTGTTGGAAATCTTGCTGATCACCAGTTTTTGTTTAGGTTGGAGATTTTGGACTGGCCCGTGAATATGGGTCTCCACTGAAGCCTTACACACCCGTGGTCGTGACGCTTTGGTACAGGGCTCCCGAGTTGTTGCTTGGAGCTAAGGTACGTTTCTCCTCCCTCCCTTGGCTGCTAGAGCAATGACTCTTCAGACCGACTTTGTGTGATAATTTATGGACAAAGCGAGTACGTTTGATTCTTTGCGTTGATTTAGAGCTGGGAATTCTGAATCTTTAGTGATCTTTTTCCTAATACCATGGCTGAAAGGGTTTTCTGCTCAAAACCTTCACAAATTCACAGTAGCTTTAACTTTTAAATGAATACAGTTGAGACCTGTGCCTTTGGGATTGGAGTGATTGTATGTGTTCTGTTCAGAGTGGTAGAGTCCTTAAAAAAGCCCAAATAACCCTCCCTCCCCCAAAAAAACCCAAATAATACTCCAAACCAAAAGAACTGCCCCTCAACAACACCTCAGTGAAAGTGTCTTCCCGATTCTGTGACGTATTCATATATTCTTTCTTTTCAGGAATATTCAACGGCGATAGACATGTGGTCGGTGGGGTGTATCTTTGGGGAGCTGTTAACACAGAAGCCCCTTTTTCCTGGGAAGTCAGAGATTGACCAAATTAACAAGGTTTTTAAGGTGAGTTTTTAGCACCTATGGAGTCTGACTGACTGGTTTTAGAGACTGCATTAGAGTATTAAAGAAATTAAAGGTGCCTGTTGCTTTTTGCCAGAGATTCAGCCTTAGAGGATCGTTTCTCTGATTCTTGTTTTAAAATGCTAAGTCTAAGACCGTGACTGGTGTTATATCTGTCTTCTCTGGATACTTCCCAACTCCTCTAGCTGCATCATAAGTCAGTAGGAGGGTTGCTCTCTAGAGCGAGTTTATTAAGGAGCTGGTTTAATTGACAGGATCTGGGGACTCCAAGTGAAAAAATCTGGCCGGGTTACAATGAGCTGCCAGCAGTGAAGAAGATGACGTTCACGGAATATCCCTATAACAACCTCCGCAAGCGATTTGGAGCGCTCCTCTCTGACCAGGGCTTCGATCTGATGAACAAGTAAGTGCCGCCTTCCAGCATGTTCTGCACAAATGTGTTCACGAGCTGTCTTAGAGGTACAAAATGACGTGTAGTGGAGCTTATTTCAGACGTTTAGCCTTGTCAAAACCGGCTGAGGCGCTCGGAGGCTGTGACATTCCTCGCAAGGATATTCCTCACTCTCACAACAGCTTTACTCAGTGCCCCGTGCTTTTAATGCCTACTCTTAAACCTCAGTCCAGAACTGATTTTGCACACCCATATCCTAGAAGGACAGAAAAATGATTTAGTAGTCGTTTTAGCTGGGTCTTGTCATGTTTAATGATGTGCTGTCAGCTCTTGTGTAGTCTAGAGCTTGTTAAAACAAATGATAATTGAAAAAAGGGGGAAGAAGAGGTCATATTAAAAGATTTAGAAAACAGAGCTATAGCTGACTACCTGCAGGGTCTGAGGTGTCTGATACACCCCTGTAAACAGATCCCTCCGAAAACTACTTCTGAGATGTAGTTCCAGCTGCTGTTCATGAATTACAGGTTCACACAGGAAGTGTGCTTTTAAAATCAGAAAATTGTAAATCACGTTGCTGAAGAATTCATTATTTTGAGGCTAATCTTTTTTTGTCTTTCTACCCCTCTCTCTCTTCTTCCCTCTTCCATTGTCGTCCTAAACTCTTCTCAGCTTTTTGACGTACTACCCAGCCAGAAGAATTACTGCCGAGGATGGTTTGAAGCACGAATATTTCCGAGAGACTCCCCTTCCTATCGACCCCTCCATGTTCCCCACGTGGCCAGCGAAAAGCGAACAACAGAGGGTAAAACGTGGCACGAGCCCACGACCCCCCGAGGGCGGCCTCGGCTACAGCCAGCTGGTAAGCACAGCGGTCGAGACTCCCCCCGCCTTAGGCGTTTCCAAATCCTGATATTGGAAGAGTTCACGTAGTCTCCTGGAGATACTTGAACTAGTTTATTGTTGTTGCCATTTATCTTTCTGGGGTGGAGAGGAAATGCATCTGCACACACACCGATAAATGCCTTGGGATTGGTTTTCACAGGGCGACGACGATCTGAAAGACACGGGTTTTCATCTGACCACCACGAATCAAGGTGCATCGGCGGCAGGACCTGGATTCAGCCTCAAGTTTTAAACTCAACATGAAAGAGGGAGGGGAAAATAAAAAAGAAAGGAAAAAAAAAAAAAAAAAAGAACTGTTCATGTGAGTCGATTTCTGAGTTCCCCAGTTCTGTTCGTCACGTCAGGGAGACTGGCTGATTTTCACAGGGAAAAAGTCAAACGTCATCCCAGATTCAGAGGCTTTGCCTGGGTGTGGAGTATAAGTGCTGCATTCCATTGGAGGACTGAGTTAACCTGAAAAGCCAAGGATCGCTACAAAATTCGACAAAGGAAAACTTGAAGTACAAGCCTGGAACAGTTTCTGGTTTATTTTTAGCTTTTTTTTTTTCATGGGTTTGTTTTGTTTTGGTCTTTTCCTTGTAAATTTGTAGAATTAAAATAACATTTTTAATTGTTCAGCGGTCTGAAGGATTTAATTTCTCCACATGCAGCGAACTTGGATGTTGGGGCCATTGAGTATTCTAGAGTAGAAACTTATTCCACCCCTGCTGCCCCCCAAATCTGTGTTGTCTCTATTCCAGCACAGTTTCAGCCTGGGCAAACAACGTTTTGTAATTTTAAATAAATTGTATGCGTGTGAGTATAGTTAGGGCAAAAGAAAAACCAGTTCTGAGGAAAGGGCTGGACTGGATACAATATGTTTGAGTGCACTGCTGAGCTGAACAGGGTTTGATGTGTTGTAGACATGTTTTTACAATGGGACTGATGCAAAAGACCTCCTCTATTGTTTTATAAATCAAAAAGATTTAATATGGAGACTTGAAGCTTTATTTTCTATAGAAAGTTCTTTTACGTATGCCCTTTTTCCCATTAAAAAAAAGGAACTTAGCATTACTGATTGCATAATGCCCTATCCCCCTCCTTTCTCGTAAGACAGAAGACGAGCGGAGTGATGTTGGAATATCAGATCCTTCTGGGTCCGATTTGTAGCCCAGCCTTCTTTCCTGGGAACAGAAGGATTTGGAAAATACCGGGGTATGCATGCAGTGAGAACCGGGCAGCACTCCAGTAAAAGGATTAACTTAAATTATAAATATTCTGTCCGTTTCAAGCACTGTAAGACTTTTTCTGGGTAAAGGTCAGGGAACTGGAATGTGGATGTATTGAAATCGAGGGTAAGTTTTGAAACCAGTAGAGGTTTTAGTCTCTGTGGAGGAACACAGAACTCTTGTCTCTTAGGGCCTGATTGATTCCCTGGTACTGAGCCAGTTCTGTTCCCACTCTGCTCAGTGACGTGGACGGGATTTTAGCAAGATCCCTCATCTGTGGAGATCAATAACTTTTTTTTTTTTGGTAGAAGGGAAATACCAGCTCTCCCTGAGTAGTGCAGTGCTGTTCCATCACTGCATTTCAGCTTTTTATTTCGTCTCAGTTGCCTATTTTTTACGTGGAGCGCTCACCTTCTATCCTCCTGAGCTTCATTGTCCGTGGAAAGATGCAATAAATACAAACCGCAGGAAAGCAGTTGGGGGCAGAAAAAGATGTTCTGTGGGTATCTGAACACGTCAAAACCTGGAGTAATTAGAGCGGGTTTGTTGTGCCCATTCACCCTCCTGACAAGTAAAAGAAAAAGTCGTATTAGATCTCACACTTTTTTAAAAGGTTCTGATGCTGTCGTCCATTTGTTTGATGACAAATTCTGTTCTGGTTTTTCAGCAGTCTGCAGTGATCCACACAGTTCAACTGCAACACCCGACGCTTCACTTTTTTTTAAAAAAAAAAGTTTTTAATTCTCTGTACGGCACATACTTGATAAATTCTTCATCATTAAAACTGATTCGGAAAAGTTTTAGGTTCCAGTAATCCCGTCTCAGAGTCTCTTTTGCGCAAGAAATGGAAGCAGTTGATGGAGAAGTTCAGTTGTGCTACTTGAGATTAAATATAAAATGCCAAAGAAACATTCTGAATTTGAAGCAGAATTGGGAGTAACTGAAGTGCTCGTTCCAGGGCCCTTGTTAGTGCTTCAGTCTGATTCTCCAGGAATAAGTAGTCAAGATTCTTTCTTTTTTCTTTACTATACAAGTGTAAGTTCCTTCGTTAATTGCATTTGCAATGATGCTCATGTGATCTTCATTTAAGGATAAGTAACCCGGATATGAGTATTCCAGAAGCTCTTTATCTTTATACCAGCTGTCGTAAGAAAAATAATATAAATTAAACTACAGAATATCTAGTACAATGCAGCCTGACACAACTCATGGACTCTCGGATACCTCCAGAAATAACAGGCTTATACATGCATAAGAATTCACAAACTACTAACTGAAATTTAAGACTGCAGGGTTTTTTGCAAGAAAATGGGCCAGGGAATTCGACTTGATGGTAAGAATTGTCTTTTTGCCATCTATTTGATCCTTTTTTTTCAGCTCAGCGTGTTCATTTCACAGTAAATTCTTTGCCACGTTAGGGACAGTATTTGCACGCTCCCTGCTCACAGCTCGGCAGCCCCCCCGCTGCCCGCTCTGCGGCCAGATGAGCTGCGTCCTGAGCGAGGCTGTTGTGTCAGCCCTCCTCAGGGGGAAGCAAGCTGCAAAGTCTCCTGAAGGACTGGAATAAATAATAGGGCACTTACTAAACTTTGCCTTTTTTATGAATTATCTTCTGTCCGCAGCGGAAGGTGACGTTCCTGCCTTCAGAAACAGTCTTGGTCTTTGTCCTCGGCGGGGGCAGAGTAGGAGGAACTGTTGGGAATGGGAATTCTGTCCACCAGAGGTGAGAGAAAGAAACAGCAGAAGGTAGTTGGCATATCTCAGCTTTAGTCATTCCAAACACACTTTCACAGAATTATGTTATCATCTAAGGAATCTTAAAGTATTCCTGTTACAAACCCCTCGTACTAAGCAATTCCCAGCTAGCCCTGTTCATATGCAAAGGGAACAATTTTGTGGCGTGTAAACCGACAGAGATGGCTAAAAATCAATTCGCCTCTTTCATATATACGGAAGAGTATATGAACAATCCCCTAGAGTCTATGGGTTTGTCATTATCGGGCTGCATCTTTGCATTAATCTGGCCTAAGAAAATATCTTTGTACTGGAGAATGAGGTCCCAGTGACACGGGGCGGCTGTTTAAGGTCAGCAGGTATTTAGCTGAATTCCACAGCTGCAACAACTTGACCTGATCCTATGCTAGTCCCTTACCTGGATTCATGGAACTGAGAGACTAGATAAGGTGATTAACATGCTTTATCTTCTTTTTTATGGAGCAGCTGAAGCCCAGCTGTGCTTGAGATGTTATTTGTCTTGTTTCGGTTTCCTGGGTGCAGGAGGAGCTGCACTGCATTTCTTATCTCTGAATTTAACTCCTCAGCATCCCACTCCCTCAGCTGGGGCTGAAGGGGAAGCCCTTGTCTGAGGCACAGGGAGGAGTTGTGTGTTCAGAGACTCCCTGTCATTGCTTCAGTGAAACTAGAGAAGAACAGGGACAGTTTAATCTTTTAAGTCCATGAATGTTTAAACACAAAAGCTGCTTCCTACTGCCAAGCCTCGATCTTGGCTGAAATCTATGGGGCCATCTCTGCTACAGCTGGATGGGGCATCCGCTGAGCTCGAGTGCAGAACTCAGAGCCTGCCTGTCCCTGCATCAAACACCCCTAACTTTTACCTCCTCCCTCTGTGCAAACCCCACCACGAATCACAGAAAGAAAGCTCAGGTACCGTAGCAGAAGTCACAGGTGGATGGACAGTGCTTCTTCATCAGCTTCCTGCGTTTCTCGCAGAAACCTTTTTGCGCCCATGCCGGGCACATAAATAATCTGTCTTTACAACCTGAAACGGAGGCAGAGAAGGCATTAGAGGGATTGGGGTAGATGGTTCCTTCCGAGAAACAAATTGACGCTTCACCTAAAGCATTTTGTTCAATGTAAGTGGTAGCTGGGACAGGAAAGAATCGTGCCACCGCCTGTTTGCTTTGTGGAGAGTTTTGTTACCCTGTATTAATACATCTGAGTCCAGCCAAAAGCGTATTTAACAGCTCTTTGTCTTCCTCCCTCCTTTGCACTGAGCTTTTCCTTTCCCTTTGGGCATCTGCTGCTTGCAAATGCGTAAATGTGAGTCGGGGCTCTAAAACTTCTCTCCGAATCGGGAAGGCAGGAGCACGAAGTCTGTGAGACTTCCAGCCTCTCCTGGCCACCACATTTGAAGCCGGCAGGGCTGGAACCAGACCATGGTCGGCTCACGGCTCCGTCCTTCCAAATGACGAGGGTCTAACACCACAAGGATCCAAGGGATGCTTTAGGCAAACCTTTACACGGATGACCCCAGAGCACAACGCTGCCTCCCTTACCGTAAAGCCTGTGAATTCCCCAGACTTCATCCTGGGAGATGGTTTTTTTCCCGGTCAAGGTGGCGTTGATGTGCATGAGGGCGTTGGGGTTCAGGGAGTGCATGAGCCCCAAAGCGTGTCCTATCTCGTGAGCTGCTACATGGACCAGATCCGTAAGCCAAACGCCTGGGAGAAAAATGGAAAAAAACCACCGAGCTGGCACCATGTGCTGAAGCACATTTGCTAATCCTGGTGTAAAAGCAGAGGGAATAGCTAAGCCCAGGGAGGGTACGGTCTTAGCAAAACCGATGGTTTCCACACGCTTCTAATTTCACCTCCAGAGGTGGCTGAACTATTGAATAAATCTACTGAACTACTCAGCAGAAAGAAATGGCACTGCCACCACACAATCCCTTGCAGCAGTTTTGCCACCTGACTCCAGGTGACACCAGGCCAACAACTTCCAACACTACCGAAAATCACAACCGTTGCCTCTTTCCCAAACCAGGCAAACCCCAGAACTAAGCTGGAAATCCTACAGGCATTACGTGCTCCCCGAGCCACGCGGTACCTTTTTTCCAGCTGAACCGGGTATTCCCCAATATCCAGTATTCATGGTCATCAAAATGGATTTCCCCGTTGGGCGGGAAGAAGGCGTGGGCGAGCTCCCCCGTGGTGCCATCAAAGCAGTGGTGAATGAGAGACTCCAGGCAGTCGGTGTGATTGATGGAGTAGAAGCCTGTGGAAAAAAAACCAAAACAA